TCCATCCATTCTCCAAATCACTTTTCCTATATAGGGTCTTGAAAATGATAAAATAAAATGCAACTGTATTAATTATTCATGCACCAGTGTATGCTGAGAAGAGTTGAATGGTATTGAACCTCAAAATCAGTTTAGTAGTCCTATTTGAAAAATCCATTCAAAATCACAGTTTATTGTTATAGAAAAGCTGTAAAAGATGCATTGCTTGGATTCCTGAAAGCTGTATATTGTTAGGACTCCGCATTACCAAGCAAGCCAAAACGATTACAATAATAAAATTAAAAAAGCTGGTATTTTATCAATATTTGCTTGAGGTAATCCTTTTTAACAGTGACTTGGACAGATGTTTAGATGTTCTTTCTTTTGTTCGGGTTACCATACACACGTAATTGCACTATATAAAGCCTTGTACAGTATCAAGGCATTCATCTTTTTTTGCGTCTTCAGCCTTTCTTTCCTTTTCTTATATTCCCCACAGACACCTCGCAGCATTAACAATGTGGTTGTGTGTACTGGACAAATTTGCAGGCTGTCACAATTCAAGGCACGTGGATATTTATAGAGCTTTCCACTGCTGCCACCTTTGTCCTCTGCTTAGAGGTACAATCTTTTTCTCTTCTTTCTCTGATTTGCTGTACTATTTGTTTTCTAGCTTTTTAACCCATCTACATATTATTCTGTGTGCGTGTTGTGATAAAGAAATCATAGGTAAATCACATGACACCTTCCACTTTTTCCATTTCCAAACATTTATCCTTCTTCCACTCTCAGTGTAGCTTGATGTTTATCTCTCTCATTGTGTAGCTGATACCTGGTCCATCAGCCTGCCGTGATTGAATTAGGGTCAGAGACTCTGCCGTTATGCGCAGATGTTTTGTGGCATACAGTCTACAGAGTCCAGCTCAGCAATGTGTAAAGCCCTCACTATTCATCATCCCCTCTGTTTACCCACATGGCCCATATCTATGTCCTCACGCTTTCATCTCGCTGTGGCTTTCATGGCATATTAACTGTCCAAGTGATGAATTTAGCCTGAGATTTAGTCTAATGAGGACCACAGCAGGGTCCATTACAGCATACTTCATCTTAATGTATCGCAGAGAATGAGAAGAGAGAAACGGGTTATGCTGCGTTATTGCGAGGATTATTTCATAACCCACATTCAGTTTTATAAAACTAGAAAAGATGTTAGTTAAAAGACGTAAAGCCTTCTTAGGTTTACCTAAGATTTCTGTTTTCTTCGTGCCAGACCTGGATGGGTGGATTGTTTGGATTCTGTATTAAATGTTTGATGATGAATAAACTGTTGGTTAAAGTGAGCAGCTTACCTGGAATTAAAAGCATAGTTCATGCAAAAATGAAAATTCTGTCATCATTCACTCACCCTCATATTAATAATGATATGAAACATTGTATGATGTTTTTTTTCGAATTATTCTGTATTTAATTAGATATTTTGTTTTGCAGTCTGTTAGCATGAATGCTACTATTCCATATATGTGACCCTGGACCACAAAACCAGTCTTAAAGGGGTCATATGATGCTGCTAAAAAGAACATTATTTTGTGTATTTGGTGTAATGAAATGTGTTTATGCGGTTTAAAATAAAAAAAAACGCATTATTTTCCACATACTGTACATTATTGTTTCTCCTCTATGCCCCGCCTTTTTGAAACGCGTCGATTTTTACAAAGCTCATCAGTCTGAAAAAGCGAGG